ATTTTTTTGTTTGAATGGTGTTATTAAAGTACCATTTCCTGAATGGTGGGGTAATGATCAAGGTTCACAAGGTGAAAGGTGTTTTGGTGAAGATGATTATAACTAATTAATTAATTAATAAATTTTATTAATAAAAATAATTTGTGCACATGCTTGCTTATTAAGGGTAGAGTGTAGTCATGTGTTTTTTTTATATGATCAGCAAGAATAAAATAATTCCAGAACCTCTTTTTTAAGTCACTCGCTAAACATAGTAGTAATAGCTGCACCAAAAACTAGTTTTCGCGAGATGAAAATTAACACAAAATCCATTTTCAGCATGTATCCAATCATATAGTAATAAAAAAATTTTTTTATTGTTAGATGGTTATTTCAAAAAAAAAAACTTGTAAAGTTAAAGACATTTTGCTAATTACTAATTAAAATTTGCTAATCACTAAAATTTCTAAATTTTAGTGGTTGTATCTGCCGGTTAATCAGATGCTGAAAAATTTTCATTGATTACAGTGAACACTCCATAAGTGCACTCTCTATAAATGTATCCCTCCATAAATGCACACTATGTCTCATCCCCAACCTCGGGGATTAGAGATAAATGCACACTCTCCATACTCTGCACTGCATGGTCTTCCTCCATCCCTGTTCATATAAAACCACCCTCTCTAAATGCACGCCCATGACTTTCACATGATTTATTTGCTAAATAAATTCGTGTTACATTAGTTAATTCAAACGTTTATTTATAAATCTATTTAAATATTAGTAATGGAAAATAAAGGATTAAGTAAGCTACTGTTGCTTATAAAGGATTAAATAATGTTTACAAAGAGTTATTAGAATAATAATGATAAAAACACAAATGGAGAAAATTATATATATGCGAAATTAAGGATTAAACAAAAGATAAAAGATCACAAATTTTTTTTTAAAACTTTATAGTAACCAAAAATAAAATAAGAAAATTCTAAAGAACAATTAGGACAATTTAATGCCCTTGAGCGATACATTAATTTAAAAAAAAACTTCAATGAAGCAAACCACAATTAAACAATTTTTTAGTCAACAATAATATTTAATATGTAATAATAATAGTAATTAAAAAAATATTTAAAATCGTACAATAATTTTT